GCTTAACCACTGAGTAACACATCCTTACCATTTATTTATTAATTTTAAAGAAAATGTTGAGATAGGGCCTCAGTAGGTTGCTTATAGTCTCGCTAAATTGCTGAGGCTGGCTTTGAACCGTGATCCTCCTGCCTCAGCCTCCCAAGCTGCTGGGATTACAGGTGTGCGCTACCATGACCAGCTGGTTTTGGTAGAATTTTGACAAGTAAAATCTATAGAAATTCTCACTACTAGTTCTGCCAGAATCATATAAAATCATATTGTTTTTATCTCCTTGAAGAATTCTAATAGGCTGATTAGAACTGACAAGGTCCTTCCAGAGTTAAGATGCTCCTTCCTCCCACCCAGTTGATATGTTTACTTAAGTATTGTGTAAAGTTTCTTGGATAAGTTAGTAGACCCTATAACAAACAATGGAAATTTGTTATTCACTATTAAAAAATTTATAGATCTTCCCTGGATTGGAAACTTATCCTAAGAAGAGGGTGTAGTGTTAGTCTGTCAGTCTTGGAGTTGTTCTCTATCTCCCAGGGTGTTGTACATACTGTTGGATAGTTCAGTTCCACTATCAAGGGAGCTTGAGTGAAATTTGCTCTCATCCTAGGCCAAAGAGAACCAGTGATCTTGCCTTGCCTGTTGACCAGGCCACTCTAAATCAGTGAGCTCACTAGGCCTGGATCTAGTTTGTTCAGATGCTTTAGGGTGAACCTCTGCCAAATGCTCTGCATGGTGGACCATGGTTCCTAGGCTGTTATTTGCACACATGACTTTGGGCCCTGGGTGACTATCCCCAAGCAAGGTAGGTAGCTGCTTGCTCTTCCCAATTTTGCTTGTTGCTTTCAACAGTTTGCAGACACTAGTGTATGCTGAAGCTTTTTATTTTAACATGTCTTTTATTTTAAGTTATTCCATTGATTTTCTAGCTAGCATTTCCCTACCAAGTCATGCCTAATGTATTTTTTTTAAACTTTCTTTTTTGTGGTTGTGGATGGACAGAATGCCTTTATTTTATTTGTTTACTTTTATGTGTTGATGAGGATTAAACCCAGTGCCTCACACATGATAGGCAAGCACTCTGACACTGAGCTACAGCCCCAGTGCCCTAAATATGTTTTAAGAATTTTTTATTTAAAAAAAATATAGTAAAGTATAAAATTAAGAAAAAGAATTTTTAAAATATATAGTTTAGAGTCTTGTATAGGACCTTTAAAATTTTTTTGGCCTGCCTATTTTCCTCTTCTTTTTGTATATTAAAAAATAAACTAGGCTGAGGATGTGGCTCAAGTGGTAGCGTGCTCACCTGGCATGCGTGTGGCCCGGGTTCGATCCTCAGCACCACATACAAAGATGTTATGTCCGCCGAAAACTAAAAAATAATAAAAAATTCTCTCTTTAAAAAAAAATTAAAAAAATAAATAAACTAATAAAATTTTATAAGTAATAGAATCTGAAATAAATTTGAATAAGTTGAAAATGAAGATAAATGAAAGAAAATAGTTTCATCATCTGGAGATGCCTTTGGGAGTATGATTGCCTTTTTTTACAAAAATGTATACTTTAAAATTTTTGTTTTAAGTAAATGTTATATGCTGCAGTATCATTTTTCTCATTTTATATCAGGAGCATTGTTGTTGTTGTTGTTGTTATTATTATTATGATTTGTACTGGGTATTGAACCCAGGGTGCTTAACCACTGAGCCACAACCCCAGCCCTTTTTTATTTTTTATTTTTGGGACAGGGTCTAGCTAAACTGCTTAGAGCCTTGCTAAATTGTTGGGGCTGGCTTTGAACTTGTGATCCTTCTGCTTCAGCCTCCTAGATTGCTGGGATTTAGGGTGTATGCCTCTGTGTCTGGCCCAAGAGCAGTCCATAGCCTTAAATATTTATCTGTAATGTTATCAATACTGATGCCTAGTATTTAATTGTATTGATGTTAATATATTTACATATAATTATAAATAGTACTGTAATTTCTTGAATGTATTCTTATATTCTTATTGGATTTTTAGGTTGTGTGTCATTTTTTTGTTATAAATTCTGTAATTGTCTTTGTCATAAGCATCTGTATTTCCTTAGGATATATTTCTAGAAGTAGAATTATTGGGCTTTCTGTGTCCACTATTAAATTGTCCTTTAGACAAGTTATATTAATTTATACTACTTACAAATTTTATACTTCTTATTTTTTAAAAATATTTTTTTAGTTGTAGTTGGACACAGTACCTTTATTTTATTTATTTTTATGTGCTGCTGAGGATCGAACCCAGCGTCTCGCACGTGCTCTCCTGCGGAGCCATAATCCTAGCCCCTATACTTCTTATTTTGCCAAATCTCTGCCAACTTTTTAAAATACTGTTCAATTAAAAAAAAAACTGGTCAATTTTATAAGCCAAAAGTAGTTTCTTATTACTTTAGTTTGTGTTTCTCCAATTTATTATGAGGTTGTAACTTTTATAAAAAATATATATTATTTGTCCACTTGTGTTTCATTTAAAAATAGCCTGCTCATCACCTTAACTGAGTTGCTTATTTTGTACTTATTGCTTTGTAAGTTTTTTTTAACATATTAAGATATTAGTGATTGTGACTGTTTCTTTTTTTTTTTTTAACATTTTTTTAGTTGTAGATGGACACAATATCTTTATTTATTTTTATGTGGTGCTGAGGATCAAACCCAGGGCCTCACATGTGCATGGCAGGTGCCCTACCACTGAGCTCCAGCCCTAGGCCCTGTTTCTTTTCTTTCTTTCTTTTTTTTCCCTGATACTGAAGATTTGAGAATTGAACTGAGGGGTGTTCTACCACCGAGCTACATCTCAGATGTGTGTATTTTTATTTTGTGTCTTGCTAATTTGCTCAGGCTGACCTCAAACTTGCAATCCTCCTACCTCAGCTTCCCAAATTGCTGGGATTACATGTGTGTGCTACCATGCCTGGCATTGGTTGTCTTTTTCTTTACAGTTTCTTCTTTGCTTTTTTTTTTTTTTTGTGCTGGGGATTGAACTCAGGGCCTTGTGCTTGCAAGGCAAGCACTCTACCAACTGAGCTATACCCCAGCCCTCTTCTTTGCTTTTATAACAGAATACATTTTCTTTAATTTCTATTTTTTACTTATAAACAATGTGATGCTCACTTTAGAGCAAGGTTCAAAGAAATATGAACTTTTAGGTATGGTGAGTCTCTTAGTCACTGTTACTAATTGCTGCTGTTATGGTGTTCCTTACCAAAGCTAAATAGAAAACAGGATGTGGTCTTTGGCTTTTAAAGATATCAGCTTTGGTATTTAAAATCCTTATGGAGGTTTTTCCTGCCGCTGATATTGAGCTGCCATACCATTTACTAGCTTTGATTTTCTAGTAAAAGATACTTTAACCTCTGACTGTTTTCAGCTATCCCTGAATGTCTCTGAGAGGAGTACATCTGATTCTTCTGATGTAATATCTCTCTGCGTCAAGCCCCTGAAACTTTCTGTTAGATGACAACTGGCTCCCAGCTAATCCTTCTCACTCCACCAACTATTCCCCATCCTCTCTCACATGCTCTTACTGTCTCTTTGAAGGACCAATCTATTCTGCCCTTCAAGAGAGAGAGAGGAGAGAGGAGAGAGGAGGGAGGAGAGAGGAGGGAGGGAGGGAGAGATTGAGACACAGAGAGAGAGAGAGAGAGATATGAGGAAGGGTGTGGAGAGGAGAAAGGAATAAGAGCATAAATACCAAGAGGTGTCTCTTCATAGTTATGATCACCCTGTATAATAGTCACTTGGCATTGGGATGTCAGTGCTTTCAGTGATATTCAGAATTTTCCCTTGTTTATGGACTCTAGGAGGTAATTGTTCTATTATAAAATGTATCTCAGGGATGGGAGTGTGGCTCAATGGTAAAGTGTTTGCCAAGCATGTGGGAAGCCCTGGGTTCCACTCTCAGCCCTGCAAAACAACAAAAATTCATTTTAGTCAGATGTCCTGCCAACTCGTATTTAGATAATTAGTATTTCATTTTATGATTACTTACCCTAATTAAGTGTCTTCCCAGTGGGGAGGGATCTATATTTCATTTTCTGTGGGAACATTTATAGACAAATGTGTTTTTTGGGGGTGGGGTAGAAACCAAATCTGCAAACCTGATCGTCCCATGGGGAGGTAAGAGATATATTCTGCCATGCCACCTGCTCTTCTTGTGGTCTAAGTGTTCTTTATTTTCCCTTTTAGAAATTGTAAAAGTAGTTGGATATGGTGGTATGCGCCTATAATCCCAGGTACTTGGGAGGTTGGGGCAGGAGGGATCACAAGTTTGAGGCCAGACTTCTCAAAATACATTTGTTTAACAAAAGGGCTGGGGATGTAGCTCAGTGGTAGAATTCCCCTGGGTTCAATCCTCAGTGCCACCAATAGGGTGGTGGGAATTATAAAGCAGTCTATTAGCCCCCAAAAGAGTTTTGAAAAAATAACCTAGCAGTAATCTTACCACCCTGCATTTTTCTTTTAATCATGGCTTAGATACATATTTAGTTTACATTGTTATCATTGTCTACATATATAATCTATCATATATATATATATATATATTTTGTATTATTTCTTTCTTTCTTTATTTCTTATTTATTTTGGTGCTGGGGATTGAACCCACAGCTTTGTGTGTGCTAGGCAAGACATGGTCTCACTATTGCCCAGGCTGGTCTCAAATTCCTGAACCCAATTGATCTTCCTGCCTGAGCTTCCTGAGTTCTGTAACTTTAAGTACATGCTGCCACACCTGGCTTTTTTGTGCTGTTTTAGCATAATTTTGTGTATAGCCTTTGGGAATTTTTGTTCTTAGGATAAATTTCTGGAAGTGGGATTCCTGGACTTAAGACTTTGCCACTTTCCTGGTACTGTGTAGTGACCATGCTGCTTTGTCACAGTGTAAGAAATATGCGAGTCAGAAAGGCCTTGGGATGTTGAAACAGAAATTAAGATTTAAGGGCTGAATAAGGGAGATGATGGTTTTCTTCTTTTCTCCAGCAGGTTTGAGCCAGCCAGTTTCATCTTTCATCTAAGTGTGAGCATTACAGTAACTTCTTATATGGAAGGACTCTTTTGGGGTTTTTGTTGTTGTTTGTTCATTTTGGTATTGGCAACTGAACTCAGGGACTGTCCAACACTGAGTTACATCCTCAGTCTTTTTTAATTTTTGATTTTGAGACAAGATTTCACTAAGTTACTGAGGCTGGCCTTAATTTGTGATCCTCCTACCTCAGACTCCTAATTTGTTGGGATTATAGACGTGCAGCATCAGCCTTGCTGGAAGGCCTCTTCTTAGGGCCTTGGTTTCTTTTGTCACAATGTTTCTGTAGTTCTATTTCCCTAGACTAAGAAGGAAACGTGTATTAAGTCAAACTAGCATTGTTATTCTGTTTTTTGTATATTAAGTTAAAATAGAATTTAGTCTTCCCCAAAACAGTCACCTGCTCAGTTTGATAACTATGTGGTACCTTGAGTCACTGTGTTTCTCAGGCTCCATTCAACCAATAACAATTTTAGGGTAAAAAAAAAATTAAGGAATCAGCCAAGTATGATGGCACACATCTGAAATCCCAGTGATTTGGAAGGCTGATGCAGGAGGATCATAAGATCAAGGCCAGCCTCAGCAACTTATCAAGACCCTGTCTTGAAATCAAAAATAATAGAAAGAATAGTGGGTGTAGCTCAATAGTAAGAGCAAAATCCTTAGTACCACAAAAACAAAACAACCACCAACCAACCAAATAAACCAAAATAAGGGATCAAGCACATTTGCTGAATAGAGAAGAAACTACCAAGGAGGCGTACAAGGTCAAATCTCATATATGAATCAGAAGTTTTCTCAAGGAAGGAAGTGTTGAACAATGCTTTTAAAAAGGGGGGAGGGGCTGAGCGTTTGGCTTTTGGCTAATGTACATGACCATGGTGTTAGGAATATGGTAGGAGTCTATCTTCTTTTTTGGCCATGCAACTAGCCATTTAATTTCTAGGTATTGAGGTTTAAGGTCTTCCAGATAGGCTTGTCATTACATATAAACTCTTTTAACCCCTCTGCTCCCTTCTAGAATTTCGTCTCAGATTTGTGACTTTCTATCACAGACATGGGGTTCTGCTTTGGAATTCCAGCTGTTTGTGTGTGTTAGTGTGACAGGTGTCCAGTGAAGATGATGCAGGACAGTCCAGTGAGGCCCTGGTGTTCACTGACTCTGTTCTCTGTTTCTGTCATAGCCCTTGCCAGCATCCAGCCATGGGGGATATGAAAACCCCAGATTTTGATGACCTTCTGGCTGCCTTCGACATCCCAGACCCTACCAGCCTTGATGCCAAGGAGGCCATCCAGGCTCCCAGTGAGGAGAATGAGAGTCCCCTCAAGCCATCAGGCATGTGTATAGATGAGAGTGTGTCCTTGTCTCACTCAGGATCAGCTCCAGATGTGCCAGTCGTGAGTGTCATTGTCAAGAACACCAGCCGTCAGGAGTCATTTGAAGCAGAGAAAGACCACATTGCTCCCAGCCTCCTCCACAATGGATTCCGGGGCTCAGACCTGCCTCCAGACCCCCACAACTGTGGAAAATTTGATGCTACTTTCATGAATGGAGACAGTTCTCGGAGTTTCCCTGGGAAGCTGGAGCCTCCCAAGTCAGAGCCATTACCCACCTTCAACCAGTTCAGTCCAATTTCCAGCCCAGAACCTGAGGATCCCATCAAAGATAATGGGTTTGGGATAAAGCCTAAACATTCTGACAGTTATTTCCCACCCACTCCTGGGTGCGGGGCTGTGGGGGGTCCAGTCCTGGAAGCTTTGGCCAAGTTTCCAGTCCCAGAGCTGCACATGTTTGATCACTTTTGTAAGAAAGAACCGAAGCCAGAACCCCTGTCTCTAGAGAGCCACGAGGAGCGTGAGCGAGTTGGGCCGAAGGTGGAGCCTCAGGAGGAGCTGGATTCCAGTCGATTCTTTGGAGAAGCTCTGGGTTTCAATAGTCACCCTAGCAACAGTATCGGAGAGCCTAAGAAACTTGTCCCAGATCTTGGTACCCGCTCATCAGTCCCCCCTAGGCAGCGTCTTAAGCCCGCTCATTCCAAATTGTCCTCTTGTGTTGCAGCCTTGGTGGCCCTGCAAGCAAAAAGGGTGGCTAGTGTTACCAAGGAGGATCAGTCTGGCCACACAAAGGATCCCTCTGGGCCCACTAAAGAGGGTTCTAAAGGCAGCCCCAAAATGCCCAAGTCACCAAAGAGTCCCCGGAGCCCTCTGGAGGCCACTAGAAAAAGTATCAAGCCATCAGACAGCCCTCGGAGCATTTGCAGTGACAGCAGTAGCAAAGGCTCCCCTTCAGTGGCTGCCAGCTCCCCACCAGCAATTCCCAAAGTTAGAATCAAAACCATTAAAACATCATCAGGGGAGATCAAACGGACAGTTACCAGGATTTTGCCAGACCCTGATGATCCAAGTAAGTCCCCTATCGGGTCACCTGTAGGGAGTGCCATTGCTGAGGCCCCAAGCGAGGTGCCAGGGGATGAGGGTACAGCTGTGCCTGTAGAGGAGCACTTTCCTGAGGTAGGCATAAATTCAGGGAGTCCCCAGAGTGACAAGAAAGAAGATGAAAGCATTTCAAAGGCTGTTGACTCTACATCTCCCTGCTGTAGCTCTGGGCCCCGGGTCCCAAAGGGGGCTGCCTCCAGCTCACAGGTGGGCAGGAAGCAACAGAGCACAGCACTGCAGGCATCAACCCTGGCCCCTGCCAATCTTCTGCCCAAAGCCGTGCACCTGGCCAACCTGAACCTGGTCCCCCACAGTGTTGCTGCATCTGTGACGGCCAAGTCCTCAGCCCAGAGACGGAACCAGCCTCAGCTTACACAAATGTCGGTGCCCCTGGTCCACCAGGTGAAAAAGGCTGCCCCTCTGATTGTGGAGGTCTTCAATAAGGTCCTCCACAGTTCCAACCCTGTGCCCCTCTACGCGCCAAATCTCAGCCCACCTGCAGACAGCAGGATCCACGTGCCGGCCAGTGGGTACTGCTGCCTGGAGTGTGGAGACGCATTTGCCTTAGAGAAGAGTCTAAGCCAGCACTATGGCCGGCGGAGTGTCCACATTGAGGTGCTGTGCACACTGTGCTCCAAGACACTGCTCTTCTTCAACAAGTGCAGCCTGCTCCGTCATGCCCGTGACCACAAGAGCAAGGGGCTCGTCATGCAGTGTTCTCAGCTGCTTGTGAAACCCATCTCTGCGGACCAGATGTTCGTGTCGGCTCCTGCAAACTCCACGGCACCAGCAACCCCAGCCCCTTCCTCCTCCCCCAAACATGGCCCCACTTTGGGCAGTACCAGCCCCAGTCCCCCACCTCCAGCCTTTCCTCTTTACCCAGACCCTGTGAGGCTCATCCGGTATGGAACCAAATGTCCTGAATGTCACAAGCAAATGAGGGACTACATGGTCCTGGCTGCACATTTCCAGAGGACAACAGAGGAAACCGAGGGGCTGGTAAGCACAGACCTGCACTGTGATGTGTGTCAGGCCCCTGGCTTACATGGGTTCTGATTGAGCATGGAGAGGAAAGCTCATTGATGCAGGAGCAGATGTCTTAGAAGAGGACATCTGGCTTAATGGTTAGTGGCTCCCCTGAATAAATAATGCTTTGTGTTTAGTGGGAAAGATGTCCTACCCATAACTAAAGGAGACCATGAAGATTTAGCAAATGTGTTTATGGACGTGCCCCATGTCCTACTCAACTCCCACTCCAGTGGGCTCTCAGGTCCACTGTGGGACCTTTCAATGCTGGATGATCTTTTTCTGGTTTCTGGAAGGTACCAGCCCAGTCTTACATGTGCCCAGAGAACCTAGGGACAGAGGTAGGTGAGTCACTGCCCCTGCCTAACTCTGTTCCTCTAAAACCTGCCTTTACATTTTGTTCTGCCCTGCAGTGGACACAGCTGTTTTGCAGAGTCCTTTTGGGGATACTTAAGTAGGACCATCAGTAGGGCTGAGGTGAAAGAAAGGAGGGTAGATGGGTATGTGGGCCCATGGCAGAGGCTTTGGGAGCCCCTTCTTTCATCCATGTTCTCATCACTTCAGGGAAGTAGTTGAGCTTGTCTGCTTGTTCTCATTCTTGGTTATACTTGATGAGGCCTGTTTTTTTTAAAGGCTGTCATATACCCATGTATATGTCATAAACATATACCCTTTGGCACCTTCTGAAGCAGGTCCCTTCAGGAAGGTGGTCTCCAGACATGCCCTTGGTCTCTTCCTGACCTGCAAGGTTGAGTTTGGAGGAGGGAGAGATAGGGTACTCTGGGTATGGGGAACAAGTGCAGAGTGGGTTTGAGGGGCAGGGAGTTGTTGGGTATGAGACTGACCATCAGTGTGGGGGCAGAGGCATGAGGGCAAGTGGGGTAGGTCTGCAGGGGTTCTGTAGAGAACTTGGCCCTAAAGGAGTTAGGGGGTACCATATGGGGTCACTTTGTGGCCTTTCATCATTGCCTTCTCTCTCATTTTCCTTTTGATAAGTCAAATGGAGTATGGTCACCTGGCCGCTTCCCCAGGGGATTCAGTGTTCTTGCTGTCCAGCATGCTTGAGTTTACTCAGGTTCTTTCTACAAGTCATGTGATTGAGCACCTTTGGCAGTGGACCTAGGGGCCTGTGGGTTTTTCATACTGCTTCTCATCATCTTCTACAATCTGCGTACACAAGGATCAGAGTGTAGGACCCCAGGCTGGCACTCTTCTTTTCCTATAGTTCTCTTTGTTATTCTCCCTTTTGTGGGAGCCCCACAAGCACACCCCCCAGACAGGAAGGGAGAGCAGGCCCAGGAAGGCTGTCAGGCTTCTCTCAGCCTAGCTCCAATCTTTTATAAAATTTCCTATCACTAAATGGAGCTTCTGAGTCTTGGGGTGGAGCTCTGGGTTCGAAAACTTGCCTTGGAGCTGCTGGACTTGGGTTTCCCTGTGACAATACTCAGGTTTTAGGCCACGTGTCCCGTGCACAGATGGGGTGGGGTGGGGCTCCATGCCAGAGCAGGGACTGAATGGACAACATGTTTGGGCTCTCCATCTTCTTCTTGGAAGTCTGCCCCTGAACTGAATCTGCCTCCCTCTGTGGTGACTGAAGGGGTCTTTTCATCCTTCCTCTTGTGTTACAAGTCACCTTGTTAGGGAAGTATTTCAGTACAGAGGGACTATTCTTTAATGTTTTTAAGCTTTTATTTAACTGTTTGTTGTTGTACCTAGTTAAAATTAACAAAAAAATATGTAATTTAGCTAAGTACATTTACATTGTTGTGCACTCAATCTCTAGAATGCTTTTGGTCTTGCAAAACTGAAAGCTGGTACTCATTAGACAACAACTTGCATTTTCCCCTCTACCTGCAATCCCTGGCAATCACCATTCTGTTTTCTGTGTCTGTGAATTTGACTATCCTCAGAAACTCTTGTGAGTCACTTATCTTGCTTGCCATGACCTCAAGTTTGATCAATATAGCATGCATCAGAATTTCCTTTTTTGTGGGTTGAGAGGGGATGGGTGTCTTACTATGTTGGCCAGTCTGGCCCCAAACTCCTGGACTCAAGGAATCCTCCCACCTCAACCTGCTGGGTAGCTAGGATTATAGGGTGTATACCATTGAACCTACCTAGAATTTCTTTCTTTTAAAAGACTCAATAATATTCTATTTTGTTCATGCATTTTGTTTATCCATTAATCCATTTATGAGTACTTGGATTTCTTTCATTTTTAAAATATATTATTAGTTGTATTTGGACACAATCCCTTTATTTTATTTTTATGTGGTGCTGAGGATCAAACCCAGTGCCTCCCATGTGTGAAGTGAGAGCTCTACCACTAAGCTACACTCCAAGCCCTCTTTCATGTTTTAACTAGTCTGAATACTGCTAATGTGAATATGGTGTAGCATTATCTCTTTGGGACTTTGTTTTCAATTCTTTTATATACCTAGAAATGGTATTACTGGATCATATGGTAATTGTGTTTAATTTTTAAGGAACCACCATACTATTTTCCACAGCAACTGTACCATTTTACATTCCCATCAACAGTGCACAAGGGGCCCAGTTTTTTTTGTTTTTTTTTTTTTTTAATTTTATTTATTTATTTTTAAGTTTTCAGGGGACACAACATCTTTGTATGTGGTGCTGAGGATCGAACCCGGGCCGCACACACGCCAGGCGAGCGCGCTACCGCTTGAGCCACATCCCCAGCCCAGGGGCCCAGTTTTTCTACATTCTCACAGTATTTAAAATTTTTTTTTTGTAGTTGTATGTGGACAGCATGCCTTTATTTTATTTGTTTCATTTTTATGTGGTGCTAAGGATGGAACCCAGTGCCTCATACATGCTAGGCAAGTGCTCTGCCACTGAGCTACAGCCCCAGCCCCAGCCCCCTTCACGTTATTTTTTAAAATTTTATTAGTTAGCTAATGAATGTGATATAATTGTCTCTATTGTTTTTAGTGTCATCATGAACTCATTGGTATATATTCAGTATGTTTATATATTTTATTATTTTTTGCAGGAAAACCAACTCTATTGATAAGTACAAATTGCATGGGGTGAGCCTCCTGCCATAGCCAGAAATCCTGCTAGACAAATTCTAAAAGAGCTGCAGCATTCAGTATTCTTTTTGGATGCTCAGGTCATCCCATCTTTGGTCAGTTGGATCCCCTTCAAGCTGGCTCCTATGTCCTTTCTCGATACTAGGGTTTGAGTCCAAGGGTGCTTAACCACTGAGCCCAGCCTTTTTAGTGTTTTATTTTGAGACAAAGTTTTGCTAAGTTGCTTAGGTCCTCCCTTAAGTTGCTGAGGTTGACTTTGAATTTGGAATACTCAGGCCTCAAGACTCCCAAGCTGCTAGGATTACAGGTGTGTGCCATGTACCTGCTATTTTTTAAAAAATGTTAACATTATTGTGTCTGTAAATATTCTAGTATGTAGCTATGTGTTCTTCAAATTTATGTTTTGATAAAAAATACCTGAGATGATCATTTTATGGAGAAAAAATATTTTGGCCTATAGATTTGGAGATTTTTAGTCCATTACCAATTGGCCCCATTGCTTTGGTCCTGTGGTAACACATCATGGCCAAAGTGTGTGGTAGAATAAAATGATTCACGTCACAGCTGGGATGTAAAAGGGGGAAACAAATAAAATACCAAAAAGGGCTGGGATGTGGCTAAGTGATTAAGTGCCCCTGAGTTCAATCCCAGGTCAATAATAATAATAGTTATTATTATTCTTATTCTTAACTGCAAGAGCAGTAATACACACCTATAATCCCAGCTACTCAGGAGGCTGAGTCAGGAATATTGCAAGTTCAAGGCCATTCTAGGCAACTTAGCAAGACCCTGTCTCAAAATACACTACATAGGGGGCTGGGGATATATCTCAGTTGGTAGAGTGCTTGCCTTGCATGCATAAGGCCCTGGGTTCAAACCCCAGCACCACAAAAAAAAAAAAAGAAAAAGAAAAAGAAAAAAGAAAGAAAAGGAAAAAAGAAAAGAAAAGAAAAGAAAAGAAAGAAAATACACTACATAGGCCTGGGGATGTAGCTCAATGATAGAGCAGTTGTCCGTCATGTGCAAGGCCCTGGGTGTAACACCTAGCACCCAAAAGACAAACCAATATAATAATAATAATTAAATCTTAATATTGTGTGAAATATCCTAATATTCTTATCCTTAATTTTAAATATCTTTTTAATTTAAATATTTTAAATGTTAATTTTTAAATATCTTTAATTGTTTCCTTTCTTTTTATACTTGTTTGTTTGAATCAAGATTCAAGTATAGGCTGAATGTTGCAATTGATTTAATTTATAAATTCCCCTTTCCTCTCTGTCCTTTTTTTTTTTCCCTCTTGCAATTTTTTAAAACACTCGGTTGTTAGTCCTATAGAAGTCCCTTATTCTGAATTTTCTGATTAAAGCAGAGATCTTTTCCCATCTTCCCTACTAATTTGTCCCTCTGAGCATCTCTACCTCCAGGTCAGTGGTCCTCTTAATGAGTAGTATAAGTATCCCCTAATCACTAAAAAAATAGAAAAGTCCCCTCCAAGATTCAGGTCCCAGCTCTGTTTGTTGCTGTCCCCTTCTGGACTGTCTGGGTTCTGCCTATTAGAGGAAAGAAACATGATCTTAGAGGTATGTAGAGAAAATAGGGCCAGATCTGTCACTGACTAATAAGGTGGCTGACAACACTTGCTTGGGTGTCAGTAGCAGCACTTGTAAGGAGGTCTGGAGATGTCACAATGTCCTAAAAGAGTTGGAAATAAGAATGATTGGGGAAGGAGGTTATTCTGACTGTTCTCTTGGGAGAGCCAGACAGCTCTGATGGGAAAGTCACAGGTCTACAGCACCTGCATGATCTGCTTTCTTGGTGTTCTTTCCTAGACCTGCCAGGTGTGCCAGATGCTGCTGCCCAACCAGTGCAGTTTCTGTGCCCACCAGCGGATTCATGCACACAAGTCCCCCTACTGCTGTCCAGAGTGTGGGGTCCTTTGTCGCTCTGCCTACTTCCAGACCCATGTAAAGGAGAATTGCCTGCACTATGCCCGTAAGGTGGGCTACAGGTGGGTGCTTCCTGGATTACTGTCCTGGTATTGCCCAATGGTTGTTCCTTTTTCTGAGACTGAGAGATTTGGACTTAAAGCTTAATAGAATAAGAACATTGGTTGATATGTGGACATATGTTTTTATTTTATAGAAGGCAGGATTAACAAGAGGAAAGAATGATTTTTTAAAAAAATATTAAATATATTTTTAAAAAAGCTTTGAAGGGGAAGGTTTTGGGGAGGTTAAACATGTTGTCACCTTGGTTTTAAAAGGTATATACAGGGCTGGGGTTGTAGCTCAGTAGTAGAGTACTTGCCTAGCATGTGTGAGGCACTGAGTTTGATTCTCAGCACCACATATTAAGGGAAAAAAAAGATACATTGACAACTAAAAGAATATTTTTTAAAAAGGTTTACATTTAATTTGTTCACAAATTTCTGTGTGTGCCATACTAAATTTTAAGCACTGTTTCAATAAAAAATTTACTAATTATTGTACTTTGAAATGTTTCTGGTTTCTATTAACAAATGGGGCTGTATGACACCAACCTCAAAGGGCTCTCATGTCTTTATTTTAGTTAGTTGTTGTCAATATGTGTGAGACAGACAAAACCTGAGTATGGAAAAAAATGATCAGCCATATAGTAAAACCAAGAAAATTCTTATTTTGACTGAAATGTCTTCCACTATGTTAAGTATTTATAGGCAAGAAGTCATTTTTAGGAAATAGATCAAAATGGGGGGAGAAAATTCATTGATCTTTAATGTTTTCATTGACCCAATTAGGTCTCCTAGTTAGGAGATCCTACTTTATTTTCACTTTTGAAAATAATTTTGATCAAATTTTGTCAAGTTTCCTACTCTTTGCAATTTCAGAATTTTTTTATTTAGTTCATTTGACTTTTTGTTGTGTATATTTACATCGTATATTTTGGGCATTATTCTCGATACTCAGGATACAAAGATGATTATGACACAGCTCTTGCCCTCAAGCAGGCTTTCATCTGGTAATTATAATTCAGTGCTCCCATAGTAGTGGAATGGTCAGAAAAGTTTTCTATAGGAGATATTAGGGAGTTTTCTAGGCAAAAAAAGGGGAAGAGCATATCTGGCAAGGGTACAGGTAGGGAGTCCAACAGACATAAAAAAAAAAAAGCATTACAGGAATGATAAACAGTTGCATAGAGATGTCAGGATGGACCTGGGAGTGATGAGACAATCCTGGGGAATTGGCAGAGACCAGGACATGCAAGACCTGTGCTCCTTATCAGACATTTGGATTTTATCGAGTAAACAGTGAGGAGCTACAGATATTTGTAGTAGAGGTATAATCTGGCTCATCTATTTTAGAGAGATCATTTTGGGAATTTGACACAGGAATTACACAAGGGAAAGAGAAGAAACTGCCTGAGAAGTAAGTGCAATGGTCCAGATGAGTTGCTGAGGGCTTCGGCTAAGACATAGATAGCTGTGCTGGGCACAGTGGCACATCCCATCCTGTAAGCCTCACTACTCAGGAGACAGAGGCAAGAGGATGGTGAGTTCAAGGCCAGCCTGGGCAACAATAGGCTCTGTCTCAAAAAAAGGTGTGTGTATTGGGGGGGCATAGCTATGGGGATATAGAAAAGGGGCTTAGGAATTAGAAGCATTAGGACTTGATAGTAGCTTTTATGTGGGAGAGAGTGGTGGGGGAAGGGTTAGTGATGACTCCCTGGTTGTTGACTTGTAAACAGTTGCAAATGTAAGCTGATTTTTTTTTTTTTTATTATGGAGTTTGGATTATCTAAAGTGTGTTAGAAACAAAACAAACTGAAGATGGGGTTATACAGAGGCCTTACCACCAGGGCTGGTAAGAGCATTACTTGGCAGCATCCCAGGATACATTTTTGGTGGTACTGGGTGGATTGAACCCAGGGTGGCTTTACCACTGAGCCATGTTCTCAACCTTTTTTAAAAAATTTTTTAAAATTTTGAGACAGAGTGTTGATAAATTGCTTAGGCTGGCCTTGAACTTTCCGTCCTTCTATTTCAGCCCTCCTGCTTCAGCCTTCCGAGTTTCTAGGATTATAGGTGTGTACCACCATGCCCAGGTTAGAGCATGTGTTTTATAATATTCTGTAACATTTAAAAATACCTTTCAAACTATGACTTGAACACACACTGCTTATTGGGATCAGTAAGTTAACAGTGCAATCAATACTGAAATACTTATCTTTGAATCTTTTTAAAAAAATTTTACTTGTTCTACTTAGTTGTACATGATAGCAGAATGCATTTCAATATATCGTACAAATGGAATGCAACATTTCAATTATCTGGTTATACCACCGTGTAGAGATACATCATTCGTGCAATCATACATGTACCTAGGGTAATGATATCCATCTCATTCCACCATCTTTCCTACCCTCTCAACCCCTCACCTTTGCCCAATCCAGAGTTCCTCCATTCTTCCCATGCCCCCACCCCCAATTATAGATCAGCATCCACTAATTAGAGAAAACATTCCGCCTTTTAGTTTTTTTGGGATTGGTTTACTTCGATTAGCATAATATTCTCCAACTCCAACCATTTACCTGCAAATGCCATAATTTTATTCTCTTTTAATGCTGAGTAATATTCCATTTTGTATATAAACCACAGTTTCTTTATCCATTCATTTATTGATGGGCATCTAGGTTGGTTCCAGAGTTTAGCTATTGTGAATTTAGCTGCTATAAACATTGGTGTGGTTATGCACCATAGTACGCTGATTTTAAGTCCTTGGAGTATAGACCGAGGAGTGGGATAGCTGGGTCAAATGATGGTTCCATTCTAAGTTTTCTGAGGAATCTCCACACTGCTTTCCAAAGTGGTAGCACCAATTTGCAGTCCCACCAGCAATGTATGAAAGTACCTTTTCTCCCTCATCCTCTCCAACACTTACTATTATTTGTATTCTTGATTACTGGCATTCTTACTGGGGTGAGATGAAATCTTAGAGTAATTTTGATTTGCATTTCTCTAATTACTGAAGATATTGAACACTTTTTCATATATTTGTTGACCGCTATATGTCGTCTTCTGAGAAGTTTCTGTTCAGTTCCTTAGACCATTTATTGATTGGGTTGGTTTTGTTTTTTTTTGGTTTTTTTTTTTTTTTGGTATTAAGTTTTTTGAGTTCTTTATATGTCCTGGAGATTAGTGTTCTGTCTGATGTGTGTGTGGTAAAACTTTGCTCCCATATGTAGGCTCTCTCTTCACCTCAGGGATTATTTCTTTTTCTGAGAAGAAGCTTTTTAGTTTGAATCCATACCATTTATTGATTCTTGATTTTAATTTTTGTTCTTTAGGAGTCTTATTAAGGAAGTCAGGGCCTAATCTGACATGATGAAGATTTGGGCCTACTTTTTCTTCTATTAAATGCCGGGTCTCTGGTCTAATTCCTAGGTCCTTGATCTACTTTGAGTTGAGTTTTGTGCATGGTGGGCAATAGCGGTTTAATTTCATTTTGCTACATATGGATTTCCAGTTTTCCAGCACTATTTGTTGAAGAAGTTATCCTTTCTCCAATGTATTTTGATTTTTTTTTTTTTTTTTTTAGTGCTGGAAATTTAACCCAGGGCCTCATGCTTGCATAGGCAAATGCTTTACTGCTGAGCTCCACTCACAGCTCCTATCTTTGAATCTTGAATCCAAGAAATTTTCAGTTGTACAGATGTATTCATAGCACTTTACTTTGATTTTTAATTAAGTATTTTATTTTTTTCTGTAAGAGTAAAAGAAAACATCGTGTCTCAATAGTAATTCAGATATGAAGACTTTTTTGTAAGGCATGATAGATAAAAAATGTTAGATAAAAAAATGTTGTGATTCAGCAGAGAAATTACTGAAGAGAGTGACACTAAAATCTTTAGTGATCTGTAGTTGAACTTAGAAGACATACAACTAAGTCAACTATTCATTTTCTTGTAATTTTTATATAATTTGCATGCCATACTATTCACCCATTTAAAGTATTGTATATAATACAGTGGTCTTAAGTATATTCACAGAGTTGTACAGTTGCCACAGATAATTTCAGAACATTTTCAGCCCCCTAAAAGAAACCCCACGTTCACCAATATTTCCATCCCTTCACAAATTTACTTTCTATCTCTGTTTCATAGGTTTACCTATTCTGGACATTTCATATAAATGAACTCATGTAAACATGGTCTTAGCATAATGTTATAAGATTCACACATATTGTAATATGTATCAGTATTTCATTCCTTTTCATGGCAGGATGATATTTCGTTGTCTTGGTATACACATTTTTTTCCCATTCATCAGTTGTTAGATACTTGGATTATTTTCATTTTCTGCCTATGAACATAAATGTACATATTGTGTGAACATGTTTCTTTTCTTTTTGTGATGCTGATTGAATCCAGGGTCATGAACACACTAGGCAAGTGCTCCATCTCTAGCTTTGTTTTCCTTTCTTTTGAGTGTGTACCTAGGAGTGCAATAGTTGGGTCAAATCTTGTTTAATTTTTTTTTTTTTTTTTTAGTCCCAGGGATTGAACCCAAGGACACTTAACCACTGAGCTACATCCCTAGCCCTTTTTATTTTTTATTTTGAGATAGGGTGTCACTAAGTTGCTTAGGGCCTCACTAAATTGCTGAGACTGACTTTGAACTCACAATCCTCCTGCCTCAGCCTCCTGCGTCACTGGGATTACAGGTATGCGTGCACCACTATACCCAACCATGTTTAGCTTTTTGAGGAGATGCCAGATTGTTTTTGAAAGTGGTTGTCATTTTTACATCCTATCAGGAATTCATGAAGTTTTTGACCTCTCTGTATCCTTACCCCTCTATATCCTTACCAATGCTCATTATTGTCTGACTTTTTGGTTGTAACTATCCTTATGAAAATTTACAGTTCTCCTAATAGATAATGATATTGGGCATGAGCATCTTTTCAAGTATCTTTTGGTCATTTTATATATTCTTTTGAGACATGTCTAGTCAGATCCTTTGCTCATTTTTAAAATTAGGTTATTTGTCATCTTACTGATTTTTTTTTTAAGAGAAAAGTGCTGGGCTTTAAACCCAGGGTCTCTGCAGGCTAGGCAAGCACTCTCCCACTGAGCCACATTCCTATCCCCTGTCATCTTATTGAATTGTAAGACTTATTTTATACATTCTGGATTTAAGTTCTTTGTTAGATATGATTAGCAAGTATTTCTCTCCACTCTTGGTGTTAATGCTTTTTAAAAGTAGACTTTAAAAAGATACCTATATTCCATTTTATTGAGCTGTACTAAAGAGTTTTACATTTTTTAATGTTTACACTATTTTTGCTTTTTCTTAAAGACAATATAAAAAAGTCTATATGTGTATATACATAATTTATATTTTTATATGTGTGTGTATATATATACATTATATTCAAATTTTAAAACTTTTTCTGTTCTTTGTTGATATTTGATTCTTTTTTTTTTTTCCTGTGAATCTGGGGATTGAATCCAGGGCCTTGTGCATGTAAGAGAAGCACTCTACCAACTAATCTATATCCCCAGCCTCTTTGTTAATAATTTGGAGAATAGCCAATACTATCATAAGGAAGCAAGATTAGACTTTTAAATTTTTTTTCTTTTAATATTTTTTTAATTGTCAATGGACCTTTATTTTTTATTTATTTCTATGTGGTGCTGAGAATCGAACCCAGTGCCTTACACATGCTAGGCAAGCACTCCACCACTGAGCCACAACCCCAGCCCACAGACTATTTTAATAATATATTATTTTCTTATTTGTGATCGTTAGTGAAGTTAAATATTTTACATTCTTTTTTTCTGAAACTTCTCATATTTCACAAATATGATGCTGTTGTCTATTTTAAAATGCGGTCAAAGTTTATGTCACAAAGTTGGATTTCTTTTATGGATGCTTTTTCATCAATTTGTAAACCCTGCTGGATTCAGTCCTTCACAGAGGCTACTTTGCTTGTGATGAAGGCTACTTTTCATGTTCTTTTATCACTTTAGCAGGCAGGTGGTCTACTACCTAGTACAGCCCCAGCTCTATCCTTTATGTTCTGCCTTTAGTGAGGTTTCTCAAAGAACATCTGTTGGATAAATAGAACAAATTCTCTCTGGCATTTGTGAAAAGTACATTTAAGTTGTTTCTGTAGGAATTTAGCAAAAACTGCAATATAAAACCACTTAACACACATCAGGTTTGTCCACTTTGGATGAATTTGGAACATGTGACTTTTTTCCTCATAATATCTTGCAGTGTGGAAATACTTCTGTGTGCTAGAAGTTGGTTTCACTTTCTTTTTTTCTTGTTCTGAAGATTGAACCAAGGTCTTTCAATTTCATTATTTTGTTTCCCAGGAGAGAAAAGAAATAAATGAATAATTTGTATAGAATCTTTGTAATTTAAAGTATGTACAATTTTAGTACTGAATGGGCTTCATAGTTTAATGCAAATAACTTTCTAGTTCTACAGGTTGATCGTCATTGCTGAGATTTGCAGAAGTGATTCTATTCTCCTTTACCCCTCAAACCCTGCCCATACAAGGGGAAAAAAAAGAATTTATCAGAATTCTGGGATGATTATGTGGATTGTGGAAATGGGCTAATATAATAAAGGTTGATATTCAGGAGTCAAAGAATTCTTCTTCTTTTCTGGTACTGGTGCTGGGGGTTGAACCCAGGAGCACTGCACTGCCAAACTACATTCCCAGCTCTTTTTATTTTTATTTTGAGGCAGGGTCTTGCTAAATTGCTGAGGCTGGCCTCAAATTTGTCATTCTCCTGCCTCAGCCTCTTGAATCACTGGGATTATAGGCGTTCACCCCCCTACCCTTTTTTAATTTTGAGGCAGTCTCATTAAATTGTTGAAACTGACCTTGAACTTGCCATCCTCCTGCCTGAGCTCCTGAGATTGAGATTACAGGTGTGCACCACCACACTAGACATAAGAGTAAAAGAATTTACTTAAGTGAAAGCAGGTCCTTTGAGTAAAGCAATAATCTCTCTTCTAATGCCTCCTGGCAAGTCAAAGTGAGAGTGGCTAGCAACATTGCTACAAAAGAAAGATAAAAAGAAACAGCAGGGAGCAGAGAAGGTATTCTCTCATGAAGGGAAACCCCTATGTGTGTTTACAGATAGGAGGAAACACTCCTTTTCTCTAATACTGAAAAAAGAAAGACTATTTCTAGAGAGATATTTTGAGGTTGAAGAAGTGTTTTACATGGCCTTGATTTTAGAAAAATGACTTAAGATGATTCCTTATTTTATTTTTTCATACATAATAAAAATGTATATATACCAAACAAAACTTAGAAAATACAAATTGGTAGGGAGAAAAATAAATAAAAAGTTAACTGCAGTCTGAATACCAAGGAGTTGTCACGACACTTTAGAGCTGCACTGTCCAGAATGGTGCCAGTCATGCGTGGCTATTGAATGCTTGCAATGTGGCCAGTGCAGCTAAGAAGTGGGACTTTTAATTTGATTTCATTGATTTAAATTTAAACAACCATGTGGACAGTACAGCACAGAACATTTCCTTTATCACAGTAAATGCCACTGGAGAATACTGCTTTGGAGTACCTCCTGCTGATCTGTTTGTTTTACTTTATTGATTATTAGGTGAGCAAAGCATTTCCTGACTGTACATTTCATTAGGTGGCATCCCTGCTAACTCAATACCAGCCCAGGGAAAGGCAAAGGCTTTCTGCAGCCTCCTTCTGGACTTCTACAGTTGGGTCACACTTTAAATCAATACTGTTTATGTGACTACTAAATCATTCTCCTCCTTTGCTACTCTCACCTTCTCTTTGGTGGGCTCAGGTTAATGGTCTGCAGAAGCATATTCTCTGGCCAGTAGAGGGAGAGGTGGGGTTTCTCCTTCCTTCTCTACCAGGCATGATCTTGGGCTTGAGGAGCCATGGGTATCTGTGCTGTGCCTAATTGTAGCAAGCATGCTCTCAGGATGTTTGTATGGAAGATGGAAGCCTGAGTGCCTCAGTGAGGTAGAGAAAATTTCTGTGAGGTGGCTCTTTTCCTGTCCTCTAACCCTCCTCTTCCAGCTCCACCCCTGGGTCTAACATTTCCTCCCCTCTGTCATCCAGGTGTATCCACTGTGGTGTTGTCCACCTGACCTTGGCCTTGCTGAAAAGCCACATCCAGGAGCGACACTGTCAGATTTTCCACAAATGTGCATTCTGCCCCATGGCCTTCAAGACTGCCAGCAGTACTGCGGACCACAGTGCCACCCAGCACCCCACACAGCCCCACAGACCCTCCCAGTGAGTGCAGCTCCAAGGCCAGTGGGTTCTGTGGGGCAGAGAGGAGTGGCCTGGGTGCTGTAAGGGGTGGTTTAGGGATGGACTGGGAAGCTGAGGCTAGAGGCAGAGATACCTAGAGACTGTTGAAGACATCCTTAGGCAGGGGAGTATCTACAGTGGCTCAGGGTAGTGCTTTCCCAAACCTAACTGTGGTTCAGAGAGAGCAGAGAAGGGGTGAGGGGCTGTGTGGTTCTGCAGCAGAGCCTTGGCTGCCTCATACCCTGGGGCTTGTCTCATCAGGCTCATTTATAAGTGCTCCTGTGAAATGGTCTTCAACAAGAAGAGGCACATTCAGCAGCATTTTTACCAGAATGTCAGCAAGGCGCAGGCAGGCGTCTTCAAGTGCCCTGAGTGTCCACTCCTATTCCTACAGAAGCCAGAGTTGATGCAACACGTCAAGGTGGGCTGCCTTGGGGGTGGAGGCTGGGGAGGAGGGTACCTCAGGCCGGGGGTCTGACTCTGTGCATCTTTCCCCCGCCCAGTCAGTAATCGCTCTCCCCATCCCCAGAGCACCCACGGTGTTCCCCGAAACGTGGACGAGCTATCAAGCCTCCAGTCTTCAGCGGACACGTCCTCCAGCCGCCCTGGCTCCCGAGTTCCCACTGAGTCCCCAGCTACCAGTGTGGCTGGACGGGGGAGTTCCCTGCCCTCTGGCCGCTGGGGTAGGCCCGAAGCCCATCGCAGGGTTGAAGCTAGGCCTCGGCTGAGGAACACTGGCTGGACCTGCCAGGAGTGCCAGGAATGGGTTCCCGATCGAGAAAGCTATGTGTCCCACATGAAAAAGAGTCATGGTCGGGTAAGTGCAGCCACAAGGTCACAGTACAGTGCAAGAGTCACTGGACTTTTGTCCTGTGAAGTTAAGGCCCCCTTATGTGGCTGACCCCATAGGGTTCCTGGTTCTTAGGGCAGGTTGGTGCCACAGACCTTGAGGTCTTTGGGGGCATCTTTCTTTCTGACAATATCATGTGAGAATAAAGATGCACCTAGAACTATCTTCTGGTTCTGATGCTTTGTGACTTGTCACCTCTTCCCTTAGACATTGAAGCGGTACCCGTGTCGGCAGTGTGAACAGTCGTTCCACACCCCTAACAGCCTGCGCAAACACATCCGCAACAACCATGACACAGTAAAGAAGGTCTATACTTGTGGGTGAGTCCCTGGAGGTGGAGGGGAACAGGCCTAAAATTCAGGATTGCCTGTGGCCCCTCTAGGGCTTTTCTCTGCTGCGAGATCAGGAGTCTGAGGCCTGAGATGAATGAGTTTCTAACTTGAAAAACACTGTCACTAATTCAGAAGTCAGGGAGATACCAGCTTCCAAGACCTGGTGGCTCCTGAGCTTTCTCCATCTCCTCAGCCCCAGCCAACATAGCCAGTTGTGAGGGACCCTGAGGTTTAAAAAGAGTGAGGTAATGTGATGCATTCTTGCCCCACTCCTGTGATCATCTGCCCATGCTTCAGCATTTACCCTGGTCCTTTCACTCTGACCACTAGCCCAGCACTGAGGCTTCTGGGCAGTGATATCAGGGAGCAAGATGGTGGCTGAGGGCCAGGTGGCAAGTGTGCAGGCAGGCTGACCTGCTATTGTCTGCCACCTTGACTGGCTTGCTGTCTGGATCTCACTGGGAGCACTTGGTGCCAGTACCAGGCCGTCTAAGGACACAGCTGTCTGCCTGCTTCATTCTTCCTGGTGTTCATTTGAAGAGCACCAAGGAAGCCTGTAGCCTGGAGTCTTACCCCAATTCTCTGGCTGGCTCTTGCAGGTACTGCTCTGAGAACAGCCCCAGCTTTCCTCGGCCGTCACTCCTAGAGAGCCACATCAGCCTTATGCATGGTATCAGAAACCCTGACTTGAGCCAGACATCCAAAGTCAGACCTCCAGGTGCACATTCCCCTCAGGTGAGTGTGGGCTGCCCACTCAGTTAGGCCTGGGATTTGGGAGTCATTAGGAGGAGCACAGGGAGCCCATTGGTACTCATAGCCATGGAGCAACCTGTGATAACTTCCCTTAGTGTGGGTCACTCTAGTCTGTGACCTACATGGGGAATGCACACAAGTAGAGAACAGGACAACATGGCCTGTCAGCCTTCTGTTGCTATTGTTTCCCTGTCACTGTAACCACCCCTTCTTCAGTGTGTGTGTGCTCTGTGGACATTGGAGCATTTTCACAGACACCATCTTGCTTCTGTTTCATAGCAGTCCTGTGAGGCAGGGCTGCCCTGTCAGGTGAGAGTCATGACGTCAGTGTTAGTTACCTCCCTGTCTGACTAGTTATGGGAAAAGCTAGGTCTAGACCTGCTATCTAGACCCTTTCCCTGACTTCATCTCTATTCTGTGCCCTATTCCTATTTTTGCTATACTTTGGAGCAGCCTATATCCCCTCCTAACTGCAGACTCTTGCCATGTCTGAGAAACTCTGAGGGCTGCCTGGAATTCCAAGGCATTCTCAAAACTTTCTTGGTCTATTCAGAGTGGTACTTGATGGCAAAGGCCCTTTCACACATAGTAGGTAGGGTGCAATCGATATTTTCTTTCCATAAGGAAAATGTGCATTCTCCCTTCCCCCCAAAATGCACATACTTTCTGATCCAGCAATTCTGTTTCTGGGGCTTATCTGTAGAAAGCTTTGGTCTTGGGCATAAAGCAGTGTGTTCAAGGATGTTCACTGCACTGCTGTGTGTAGTAACAAAGATAGAACTCAACCAATGTTTGCCAGTGGGGACTGTCATTCCCACAATGGGTCAGTGTGCTGCCATTAGAAGAATGAAGCCTCTGTGTGTGCTTTCATGGAGACAAGCTCCAGTATATGTTGTTAAGTAAAAACTGCAGTGTGAAGAGAAGTGTGCATGGCACATGATTCATTTTGTAAAAGACAATAGCTTTATTTTTGTATGTGCATAGGATAGCTTTTCCCAGGCACAGTGGCACACACCTGTAATCCCAGCTACTGGGAAGGCTGAGGCAAGGGGATCCTAAATTTGAAGCCAGCCTTGGCAGTTTAGACTTAAAAACTAAAAATAACAAAAAAGGGCTGGGGGTATAGCTCAGTGGTAAAGCACCCCCAGGATCAATTCCCAGAATCACAGGGAAAAAAAATCTCTTGGAGAGGCTATAAAATGGTACTATCATGTTCTTTGGAGAACAGGCCTGGGGAATGGGGTAGGAGGGCCTTAAAATGTTCATATATTTGGAATGTTTGTGCCACATGTATGTTACACTAAAAAATACACAAAGATTGGAAATGAACCAAACCAGTGTTTAGGTCTGGGTGATCCTGGCCCGGGAAGTGTCTTCTTTGAGGCCTTTGGCTAACCTGGTCATGTCTGGGGGCTCATGTCAAGAGCTTGGCCTTGATTCTGCTAATGCTCTCTATCCTTTCAGGTGAACCATCTGAAAAGACCAGTCAGCGCAGCAGGGAATGCTCCAGGCACCAGCAATGGCACGACTGTCTCTTCCAACAAAAGGCACAAGTCTCTTTTTCAGTGTGCAAAATGTAGCTTTGCCTCAGACTCGGGGCTCGAGTTTCAGAGCCACATACCTCAGCACCAGGTGGACAGCTCCACAGCCCAGTGTCTTCTCTGTGGCTTGTGCTATACCTCTGCCAGCTCTCTCAGTCGCCATCTCTTCATTGTCCACAAAGTGAGAGACCAGGAGGAAGAGGAAGAGGAGGAGGAGATAGTGGAAGTGAAGGTGGAGGCAGCAGAACCGGAGGAGGGCTCTGGGGAGGAGGTGGCCATGGAAACTAGAGAAAATGGACTAGAAGAATATGCTGGTGAGCCTTTGTCGGCTGATCCAGGGGCAAGGAGATCATTAGGCCTGGCCCCAGAGGAGGACAGTGCCCAAGATGCTCAGAGTCAACCCCAGGCCTCTCAGGACCAGGACAGCCATGCACTATCCCCTCAGGTGTGACTGGAAGCTTTGCAATGTGTGCGGTCAGGATGGGCCACGGTATCCTTCACCTGCCGTGCAGACTGTGGGAAATAAAAGGCTCTGCCCTGGTGTGTGCATGGCCACTGTGCCCTAGAGCAGTGTCTGCTCTGAGCTGTGGGTCCTGGGTGTCTCCTTACCCCAGGAAATATGGGGTCACCTAGGACCCTCACAGCTCTGAATTTGCTTCTGTTATTTATGCCTTTGTGCTGCTTCTTGGTACCCCAACTCTTGTCTGTGTCCTTCCAACCCCAGGCTGCTGTGTGGCCCAACTCCAGTGCTGTCAACTCAGCTCGAAACCCCTCTGCGTCTGCTCTTCTAGGAGGCTCCTGCTTGCTGCCTTTAGCCAGGAGACTCCTCAGAGCTCTATTTGCCTGCAGATACTAGCTCTCCTTCCTTCCTTCAGAGTCTGAGAAGGAGCAGAATGAGGGGTGCTGACAGTCCCTCTAGGAGAGCTCTTCCCAGCCTGGCTTGGCCAGGGCCCTTGGTCATTTTGCCCTTCCTTCCTGTCTTTGATTCTTTTCCTCAAAAATAGTCTCGAGAACTAATTGTTACACTGGCTCATCATGTCTCTGTGGGTGGGAGAAACTTCAGCACACCCCTGTTTGAAACCAGGGACAGCAGGAGGTATGGCAAAGGCAGGTGCCGAGAGCCAGATCTCCTTCAGAAGGAGCTGTGGGTGGGTCTTTGCACTGCTGCTGTCTGCCTTCCTTGACAAGTGGGGTTCGGGGCACACAGACATTGGAATATTTGTATTCTTGCTCCTGTGCCATTAGAGAGGCTGCTGCCCCAGGCAGACCAGCCCTCCTCCTCTCGGCTACACTCATGTTGCTCAGACTATATTTCAAATAAAAAAATCTTCTTACCATACAGGTAGGCTCTTGTATTCCTCTTCAAGTGAGCCTGGCCCTTCCCTGCTCCACCTGAGGGTCTATCCCCCAGACTTCCGTTGTTTATTCCATCTCTGAGGGAAAAAAATGCTTCCTATTGTCTGAGGAAGATCCTCTAGATTCTGGCACTTGTGGTGAGGAAACCAGGAACCCCATACTTCTTGGTTCTCTAGAGACCTTCTGAAGGAACAGGGGGAGGTCTCAGTGCCAGTCAAGTCACCTTCCAGGTCTCCCCTGGGCTAGTGCCTTAAGGCCTATCAAACTTCTCTGAGCGTCTCCATCTTTCTTACATAGTAATTTTCAACCTAGTGTAACCTTCTGCTGGTAAAGGGATGAACAGGAGGAATTCTGTAATTCTCTGGCAGCATTCGAGACCTTGGTCTGTTTTCTGCCACAGAGAACTCAGATGTGGCAGAATAGGGATTAGACTGGGGAGGTAAGTCTGTCCTTTCACTGGTGGTGGATTTAGAACCTGCCCAAGCACAAGGAGTAGGCTGTCCTCTGTCATCTGACCCAAGTGGCCTGGGCCCAGGCCCAGTAGGATCTAGTACTGGCTAAGTACTCAGAGGTGATCTTTAAGGGGAGGCAATTATAAATTAAGTCAGATAAATATGTCTTTCCACAATTGAAAAAACAACACATTTTTTTCTTCTATCAAATGCCAAATTTTTGATGGAAATGCTAATGGCAGTGGGAAAGGTTAGCACTTGCTCAGTTTCAGAGAGATTTTGGCCATCTGTACCATTTTAATGATTGCTGTTTCTGGCAAGTCCACCATGGTCCCTGCTTTCAAAGCTGGCAGTAAGGGCAAGTTGGCCCTGTTTCTGGCTGCCTGCAAAGCCAGAGCAAGCCCCTGCTTAGCTATTGTCCCTTTCCTAATTCCAATTGCAGGGAGCTAGCCCTGTGCCCTAGGTCCATTTGCAAAAACAGGTTCTGGAGGAAGGAGACAGATAAAGGTGTTTGAAGTGGATGGCTGAATTCCTTTCTGCTTAGAAACATGGTAGCTAGAGCACAGGCAGAGACCCAGACCCGTCTCTCCTCCTAGTGTGGAAGAATGTGAGCTGCCCACTGGGAATCCTGGGTCATGACCTAGATTCTGCCCTTAACCAACTCTCAACCATGGGCCTCTCTCCTTCAAAATGTAACTAGTAATTCTTACTCAACTCCCTTCATAGGCTTTTATGAGATCATGAATGTGCCCATACTTCTAGTTTATATAAAGCTATATGAACATGGGGAATCCATACTTGAAGGCTTGGAGAGTGGCACATGCCTTCCAGTCACAGCTGTATGCTGACTTTAGTTCAGAATTGGCCTGGCACAGCTCCATTATTTAGTAGTAGAGATGATAGAGTTGTAAGCCCCACTCACATGCCCAACATCTTGCTTGACACTTTTTGATGACTCTCTAATTTAACCCTCACAAAGATCTCAGTTATCCCCCATTTTACAGAGAAGAAAACTGAGACTCAGATTGAATGATGGACATGTTGGGCTACTTGTGGTGACAGTACAAGTGAGTCAAACCTGTCAAACCACTGTGCTGCCTTAGTGACCAAAGCTATTTAGGCTGGCTGCCTCAGCTCATCAGTGGTTTGCAGACATCCTGAAGTCCACTTTTCTGCTTCTCAGAGAGTTGGGGTGCCCCACAAGTGCCGGGTTCTCTTCAGAGTCCATCTATGCCTTGTCACCCTGTGCATCGCACCTGCTTGTGAGGTCCTAAAGTACATGCAGTGTCTACAAACATTCATTCTCATGGGGATTCACTTTGCCATTTGAATACCATCAATTTTTTTAAGGATTGTCTAGAAAATGTTGCCTAACCTTCATAGGGTACACATGGTTCCCTCAGAGTCCAGTATCTTCTGATCTTCTTTTTCATGATTTTTTTTAATGGTTGTGCTATCATTTGTCATCATCAGAGAATGCTTGCTGTAACAGGCACTTAACTGCTGCAGTGAATGCTCTGCTGATCAAGTTAAACAGATAAGATGCCTGCTCTGTACAAACTATCATTTAATACACTCTGAAGCTTGACAAATGACTAGTATTTATTCTCCAACTGCTTTATCTCTGTAAAATGATATGCTGAATTACTATGAGCTAATTGTTGTAGAAAGAACTTTCAACTTATGTAAACAGTCTGGATTCTAAAACATACTAGTTGTGGCCCAACAAGTTCCATATTTTGCCTCCCCCAAGACTAAGGAACTTCTGTCCTGTTCACCACTGTATATGCAGTACCAGGCTGTTTCTTTTATTTTTTGTTTGTTTTGAAAAATTAATACATATACATGGTAAGACATTCAACAATAAATATAAGGGTATACAATAAAAAGTAAACTCCCAAAGGAGGTCAGCCTCCAGTCCCCTCTCCAAAGTTAATCACTGTTATTGATATCTTGTATATCCTTTCAGAGCAATTCTATGCATTTAAAAATTTATAAATATGTATATTTATATATCTATTTTTAATACAAATGGTAGCATTCTGTACACAGTGTTCTGAAGCTTGCTTTTTTCACTTACACAGTAGTTTGGAGATTGTTCCAAACTCAGGCTGGGTTATTGGTTATCGTAATTCTTTGAAAGCTTCTAGCACAGTTCTTTGCATACAATAATGCTTCTAAAAGTGTATGGATGAGTGAATGAATGTGTGCATGAATGAATAAATCTGATTCAAATGGTAACTACAAAGTTCTCTCAGGGTCTGACCTGCTCAAGATGGGACCTTCTAGATTCTAGAATTTATCCTCTTGTTTTCCAAGGAATTCAGGCTATTGTTCACCTTCTCTGTAGATGCCACAGCAGCCCTAGGAAGTGGACACAGGATGACCTGGGCCCCTGGAGGAAAGAGCTCTAGGCTCTGCTTCGGAGTATGGGATTTTTCCCCCCCAGTCTCTATTTAAAATGTCTCCTTCTTTTTTTTTTTTTTTTTTTTGAGAGAGAGAGAGAATTTTAATATTTTATTTTTTAGTTTTCAGCGGACACAACATCTTTCTTTGTATGTGATGCTGAGGATCAAACCCGGGCTGCACGCTACCGCTTAAGCCACATCCCCAGCCCCTAAAAATGTCTCCTTCTTATTGGAAAACAGTGTAACATTGGAGAAGATAGAAAATATGCATATTTATAATCTCGTCCTTTTACCATTGCAGTATCATTTTTGTTATATCACATTCCAGTCCTTGCTCAACACATTTGTTAGGTTAATTTATGGCATAATCGTTGTAACAACAGTGGTTCATATTGAACATTTCTATGTATATATCTATTTTAATACAAACAGTAGCAGACATTCTTATATTTTTGGGGGGTTGGGGTGGGGAGGAGGGTTCTGGGGATTGAACCCAGGGTTGCTTCACCACTGAGCCACATTCCTAGTCCTTTTTATTTTGAGACGGGGTCTCAATAAGTTGCTGAGGCCAGCTTTGAGCTTGTGGTCCTCCTACCTCAGCCTCCCAAGCCATTGAGATTATTGGTATGTGCCACCACACCACATTCTTTTACTTAGCCTCATAACAATCCTATGTGATAGATACTACTAGTATTATTTCAGAGTTAGTGCAGTTGAGGTTCAGAGTGGCTGAATGATTTCCCTAGAGCTATAAAATTAGCAAGGGACAGAGCTGGGATTTCGTACTCAGTATAACTAACACTCTATTGTCTCTAATTTCAAAACATACTTCTCTCCACTTAACATTATGTCATGAACATTTTCTAAGTTTCTACATAGCCTTGAAATATTTTCAATTATTTTAATTAATTATTTCATCATGCCAAATCAACATAATTTACTTAACCACTTCGTGCTTAACACGTCCATTTTCCACGTCATCAGGGAAATGAAAAATGTTGGGCATACAGCCTTTTGCTTCTGCAGAATTATTTCCTCAGGAGTTTGTCCCTATTTTTCCTTGAGTAATGGCAATGTGATAGAATGGAGCAGGCCAGAGACTAAAAGTTAAAAGCCCTTAGGTTCCAGTCTCCATCTGACAAAGTCATTTGCCGTCAGTTCTCTCACCAGTCAAATGAGGAGACTGGTTTATATAGCTGGATATCTTGAGTTTGGCTAGATTGTGTCGTCTTATTTCTGTATATATTCAGGTCAAAGTAGAGAAGATCTTCCCAAAAGCAAGAATTCTTACAGTATTTTCCCTTTGCTTATTTACTTTTGGCCTAGATATATAAAGAAATGGAAAAGACCTCCCTTTGCTCCCCCCCCAGATGTATCACTTTTATTTCAATTTGTAATTTCAATTAACATCAGATTTATGTTTTTTCAGATAGAGTTCTAGCTCATCAGGCACAGTGTCATATGCCTGTAATCCCAGCAACTTGGGAGACTGAGGCAGGAGAATCACAAGTTCAAGGCCAGCCTCAGCAACTTAGCAGGGATCTGTCTCAAAAAAAATAAGAAGGGTTAGAGATGTAGCTCAGTGACAGAGACCTCTGGGCTCCATCTGTAGCACGGGGTGGGGTGGGGATGGGGATAAATTAGCTCTTTTATGACTATTTTCTTTGGCTTTTGTTGAGACTGTCTAAGTTTGAACTATGGATCATTCCCAAGCATCCCTAAACCCTTCCATCATTCAAGCACACTAGGCACCTATATTCAGATGAATTTCTTAGCAAGTTCATTGTGCTATGTACTGGCCCTTTAAAATGCTTTTTTTTTCTTTCTTTTAACCATTTGTAAATTTAAAGTGTGTTTAGTGAAGGAATAAAAAAAAAATCAACAAAGAGCCCAGCGTGGTGACTCAAGCCTGTAATCCCAATAATTTGGGAGGTTGAGACAGGAGGATCACAAGTTCAAAGCCAGCCTCAGCAGTTAAGCAAGGCCCTAAGCAGCTTAGTGAGAACTTGTCTCAAAGTAAAACATAAAAAGGGCTGGGATGTGGCTCAGTGATTAGGCACCCCTGGGTTCAATCCCCGTATCAAAAGAAAAAAAATCAACAAAGAGCCAGGTGTGGTGGTGCACACCTGAAATCCCCCCCCCAAAAAAAACTTCTGGGGATGTAGCTCAGTGGTAAAGTCCTCCTGGGTTCATTCCCTATGTACCAAATAAATAAATAAAAATCAATAAACATGTCATTGATCATATGAAAGATGGAAGGATGTGATAAAGCTATTTACAATTTCTGTCTGGAATGAGTCCCCATAATTGTGCTCAAATGATAGTGGACTGTAGCACCAGATCACTTCAAGGGTGGTCATGGTATTGCATAAACATCAATTGTCCAGACCTATTAGACTTTCTAAAATTGAAGCCTTTGCCTCTATTCTCTGTGAAAAAGGGGACTACTGATTATGCTTTTTTTTTTTGAGAGAGAGTGGTTAAAATTCTCTTCCACCTGCCATTCATTAAACTGGGAAACCCCATTGTTTCCAAGCCTCTCTTCTCAATTACAGCCCAGGACACACTGTACACAATTATTCTACTCTGGGTCTTTCTAGTCCACAGACCAATCTGCTTAGAATTTCCCCCTAAATTCATGGTGCATAGTCATGACAGAATATTTTGGGTATCTGAGGAGGGTGGGTATAGCTTTTTAAGAAGCTCTTTGTCAATAGAGAAAGATTCACATTTCTTTCCTTGACTGATTTTGAAGAGGGCTTGGAATATGACTTTAAAATGGGCAAAGACAAAGACAAAGAGGTTGAGGGGTTGAGTGAACAGTATGGAGGTGATGGCAGAGAAAGGGTTAGAAAGTTGAGAAAAGCTGGGGAACAGCTCAGTGGTAGAGTGCTTGCCTAGCACACTCAAGGCGCTGTTCCATTCCCAGCATCACAAAAGAAAAAAGTTGTGAGGAACAGGCAGGAGAGTTTGAACAGAGTGCAAAGCTTGGAAAAAATACACTTGACTCCTAAGACAGTGAAAGAGGTGGTGCTTGATTTGTCCATGGCATCCCTTGGGTGGGCAGTAATGATGGCAACTGAGGCAGGGAGGTATTCAAGTTTTTAGAAGAGTGAGAAAAATACAGGTGTTGAGAAAAAGGAAGGCTGAGATACAAAACATTCCCTTAGTCAACCACACATGGAGGTGCAAGCCTATAATCCCAGCTACTCAGGAGTCTGAGGCAGGAGGATCTCAAATTTGAGGTCAACTTCAGCAACTTAGGGAGACCCTCACTCAAAATAAAAAATAAAGGTCTGAGATGTACCTCATTGATAATGTGCCCCTTCTCCACATTCAATCCCCAGTACTATTTTAAAAAATGCTAGAGATATAACTCAGTGACACAGGCCCCTGCATTCAATTTCCCTGTATGTGTGTGTGTGGGGGGGGGCGGATCGGAGAGGGGAGTGGCGGGGCCGTGTTCCCTTGGGAAAAAACCTAAAGGAAAAAGGCTGGTTCACTCTGGTTGGAGATGCATGGGTTGAGAACAACCTTTCTTAGGTTCTAAAGAAGATGTGTTGTATCCTGGATCTAACTAATTGCTGCCCCTGACCACAGAGTCACCCTCTCACCAGGAAAGTGCCTAGATTTGTGGCAGTCTGATTGTGGAATCAGAGTAAGTAGATTGGGGAGAACCCCTAGCTGGGGTAGCCCTAACGTGAGCCCCCAACTCCCCTTTCAATCAAAATAGAATTAGGAGTGGTTTCTTGTTGCCAGAAGTCCTTTCATTGGTGTCCACTTACACAAGCACAGCTGTGGCCACATCACCAGTCCCTGGATTCAAACATGCCAGAGTAGCTAGCTCATCCCAGGGCAGCAGGACCTGGAGGCTCCACCCTCCAGGAACAGAGGCTCAGCTGTCTGAGCTGAGACCTCTGGCAGCTCCAGGAGGAAATCAGTCAGGCAGTCAAGAGCACTGCAGATCAGCCAGCAGAAAGGGTTGTTTGCAGTGCGGGAGAGTAGATTCCTGTGGGAGGGCAGGACCAGCAGAGATTTGGGTTTTGTTGAGCTTAGAGCCAAGACTTGACTTTAGAGTAAATGGAATCAAGAGAAGGAGAACCGAAAGAGGAGATCTGGAGGGAGTGCACAGGTGTTTGATTTAGTCGGGGGAACTTTGAGGGCTGCAGTGGAAGCCGATGATGATGCATGAGGAGGTCCTCCCTGATGTCTCTCCTAGTCCTGTGCCACAGCTTATGGAAAAAGCCACTTCAGTATGAGTCCATGTAGGTGCCAAAAAGAAAGAAAGAAAGAAATTAGGACCTGAAAAATCTACCAGTCATAGTGAAGTTGGTGATACTTGTGTCCATTTTGTCCTGTAAAGCTCACAGGTGAAGAGTAACCATTTATATAGCACAATAGCCTGAGATGGACATCGGCAAAGCAGACATGTCCAGAGAGGAACATCCTGCATGGCATGGGGCTCACAGTGCCATTTAACATAAGGAGCTGTTGAAGGAACTTGATATTTCTTCAGGAAAAGAAATATAGGCACTCTTTTCACACCTTTGCAGGGCTCTTCTATCAAAAGGGAACTAGACCTCCATGGGGCCTCTGAACAGAATTCGACTTGGAATAAAAGGAAAATCCTCCTAAAAAT